CTTTCCTGAGTTTGGGCTGAACCTGAGTGCACTCTTGTAATCAATTCCAGTTGGTGTTGGGGGTTTGTCTTAAATTACTCCAGGATCTCGTAAGGTGATCTGCATACTGCAGGTGAGCTGGACCTTTTGCAGTCAACACCCTTTGTATAAATTATGTGTCCTTCTGGGAGTGCTAAAAGCATGTTCTGAGCAGGCTGATCCAGGCATGCAGAGGTCTTGTAGCCATTTAGCATGACTCTCTTAATATCTACTCATCTCTGATAAATCTGGCTTTTGAGCAGTTGGTTAGCTTTACTTGGAGTCTGTGGTAGGACCATGTCAGTGTGTAGCATTCACATAACATCAAGCTCTAAAATACAGCAGTCAGAATAAAAATCTGACGTAAATACTAGCCAGAACTGTCTGGGAATACTCATAATGCACTTCCTGGATTCTACTCATTATTGAAGTGTTGCCTTTACCCCTTAGCTACTTTTTGATGCGGTGGCCTCTCCTTCTGACAGAGTGCTAGCTCTGGTTTCGTGATACAAAGGCTTTGGCATCAATAACGGCTGAAGAAGTTCTGTTTACCACCCTAGGAATGATATGCCCTCTGGCACAATTATTTGTGTCCCTGCTCTGTGACCTGGGTCAGGCCCTCCTCCCTTTTTCATTCTTTCTTGCTCTCCTAAAGCTCTGGGTCAGTTCACTGGTCTGGTTCACCAGTGGCATGCTACAGCTGTGAGGGCAGGAAGAGCAGCTGGCAGGATGAGAAGGAAGCAGTGGGAACTCCTTAATTGATACTGCTCAAGTTCCTGAATTGTGACATCTGAGTTTTAGAGTAACCTTCTGCAGATCTAACCTTTCATTCATATTTGTTCCATAAACAGTCTACAGACTGTGACTTGCTACCATCAATCTTGCAGAATTCTTTTTTTCTTGGGCAAAAATGTAAAGCCACCAAGTAGTCAAAATGTGTTACGTAACTATTAGTGTGTCTTTTTAAAGAGTTCATCTTAAATTCTCTCAGTACTTTCTGGAGTTCTGTGTGGAATTGTCACCAAGTCAGTAGTATAGTCAGTAGCAGAGGGGGATGGGGCACAGTGGTGGAAAGTAGTTATATTTCAATTACCAAAGCATAAGGTGCTCTTTATTGTGAGCTCTATACAGACATTTCAAGGACAGATATCTGCAGAATAACTTCCAAGGCTTAACAGTTGTGATAGTGTAGAGAATGAGTAAGGCAGGACAACGATGAAAGTGCTACGTTCACGCATCTAGTTATCTATACAAGCTATATACATAGCTGAGTGTAAGAGATGATTTTTGGACATCCTAGAATTGTAGGTGTGTTGGCTTGGTTGCCTTTTATTTTTTTCCTAGGAAATAGCCTTAGCTGTAAAACCTTCTACCGTTTTCTTTCCCACTTTACCTAAATATATATATTTTTTTTTATCTTCCTTTCTAATATACTTTGCCATGCAAGTCTCTTGCTTCAGTAGCATGGTCTAGTTGGTTCGAATGGATAGTCATTTGTCTTCCCCAGCTGAAGAATATGAAATATGGGCCATATTTGACCTACCCTGTATTTTTTTTCTATCTGTATAGGCCATTGCTATCTGACCAACTACTTACCTGATTGGCCAAAACAATCCTTAATGTTTGGCCTGGGAAAAATGAGTTTGGGTGGTTTTATTCTTCATTAAAAAAAAAACCCTACCAAACAACCAACCAAAAAACAACAAGAAAAGTTGAGGTTGTACCTCTTCCTCTTTCTTACCCTTTGTATCTTCCTTTTTGCAGAACGTTAAAGACATTGAAAGACGTCCTTACTGCTTGTACTAATTAAAAATGCCTGAATGTTTTGTTTCTTTACTAAAAGTGAAGGTTGGGATTGCAAATGAGTCACTTAGACCAGTTTAAATTGCGTACACTTTATTTTCAGCTCTTTCTTTGGTTTTGAGGGCTAGTTTTTAGCACAGATATCGATTACATTAATAAAACAAAAAAGCTGTTTTCAGTGATGACTACAGTATGCTGTCATTAAATGAAATTTCTGGAAATCTCTTGCCTGCTTATTTTCATGTTACTATGTAATGATTCTGGTGAGGAATACAAATGCTATTTCATGGTGATAATCATTATTTTTCAGAAACAGAAGGAATCCAATTGGAAATTTGTGGAAGAACTCCTTAAAAAATCCACTGATGCTCAAGTAAGTGTGTAAAGAAAGACATAATGAGCAAGGAACATGTTAGGGATGCTTTCAGGAAAAGACAGTGCATGAAACAAAGTCCAACTAACAAGTATATTTTTGGAATTCTAGTGTTTTTATCACAGGTAGATGAACATCCTTGACGTAGCTGAACTGTGGCAGTATTCAGTTCCCTCCTTGTTAGCAGTTACACTTGCTTTAAAGTGGTTGTGCTTGATGCTAAATTGTCAGATAAAGGAAAAAGATAATTATTCTGGAAGGGTAGGTATATGGCTACTCAGACAAGATGTATTCAGAATAAGAACTGGATGCTTAGAAAATGTAAACCAGATACTGAATGTAAGGATATCAAGTTGAGGAGACATGATGAGGGAGATAGTCAGTTGCATTGAAAATTCAGCTATATCCTCATCACAGCAGGAAGGTGACTTGCCTTGCTGAGCAATTTGTCTTACAGGCTTGAATCAAACTCTTACTGATAAGGTTCTAGTTTCTGAGCACTCATTTCATACCTTATCATTTTTCTTTCTGCAGAACTGTTAATGCAATGCTTCATGGCCCAGAGGTCAGAATTGACCTCCTTTTAAAATGCTTTTAAATATGCTGTTCATCACGTTTTTAAATATGTTACGTTGCAGCTCTGTAAATTTGTTCTGAAGTTGCATGGCACAAATTGCAAATGCTGTATCAGCAACACCTATAAAAATAATGTCTTTAATTTGTGTATGCTTGAGATGAGAATAAACATGTTTGGGTTTTTTTGGTTTGGTCTCGGATGAATTAAAAAATGTCCTGCAAAGTTCTGCTGCTGAAAGCAGAAGAGGAATCAGTTCTTTTTATTATTATTATTACTGCCTTGCTTATGCAGTAGTAACAGCTGTGGTTGAAGCTGGAGTACGGAACAATACTTGTTACAAGTACAGTTTTTATAAAAAGGTATTTTGTAGTTGTTAGGATAGTTGAACAATAGATAGGGTATTAAAACATACTAAAATCATGCTATACATAAACTCTTAACATTTTTTATATAGTCTTTCAGCTTAAAAGGTTAACTCTTGTTGAACAGTTTCACAGTATATAACTGAGTACACACACTGTGCATATACATTAAAACCACAGTGGTGACATCACTTATTGGATGCTTACCATTCTGTGAGAGAAACTTGAGAGATTTAGATGAGATAAGAGGCATAAAACTGTGAGCAGTTTATTAGCCACCTTCCTGTGTTTCATCTTCTGTATGTCAGCAACCTGAGAAAACAGCAAAAGGACACTTAGGTTTTTCTTCAAAATACTCCTCTTTTCTTGTGAATGTTTACTATTTTGAATAAAGGTTACTCTGAGAATATGTAAAGTATACAGCTTTCTGATGCTTCTGTTTAACAAGTATTGAATTATAGACAGTGTAGAAAGGCAGCTAAGTGGCCAAGTTCAGAAGATTTGAATGAGTCAGTCATGACACAGTAATATGAGCCAAATGCCTGTTTTAATTTCCAAAGGTGACCACTTTTGGAATTAAAACAAATCCTGATTTTACAAGGTTGTGTTTGCAACTATTGCCAACTGTCTAAGGAGCCATCTAGTTTATTTCCTCTTTTTGTTTTTTTTTGTATTTGTTCATTATTTTTTCTTGCATTGTGGAGGTAGCTGCTTGTAGGAAATGCTCCTTGGAGAGCATTAGTCCCCATATGTGCATGCATGAGTGCATGTAGGTACTTTTAATAAAAATGCATCCCACTTCCTATCCCTGCACACTAGCCTTTTTGACAGTGCCTAGGAAGGAGATTTTCTTTTACCAGTAGACCAGTAGATGTGCATCTCTGTTGATTTATCAGCTTCATGTGCTCACTCTTCCCTTTTATTTTATCCTTTGGTATCTCTGAGTGTTTTTGAGACCAGGAAGTTAGGAATAAGAAGCACAGTGAGATATGAAGAAGTCAATAACGAAATGTAACATGGAGAAGCAGGAAAAAGCAAAAGGGAGAATAGTGCTCTTTGAATGAACAGAAGGACAGTATTGATGATACTGCCTACTAACGCTTGGCTTGAGTTTGTTAGTAAATCCTACCTGAGCCATCCTTTTCAGTATGTACCCTGTGTTACCTATACTAGAGATGCACAGCAATAGCTGTGCAAAATAAGTTAGAAGAAATTATAGTGCCAAATCACTCATTTGCAAGAGAGGGCAGGAATTGGTGGTTAGAAACTTCATTTTTAAGTGTATGGCAGCTTAAAAACTAATCATGTTTAGTACATAGTATGTCCATCAACCTCATAATCCACTTGTGCTTGTTGCTTCCTGATGTCAAAAGCTTGTGGCCTATACATGTTCAGGAGGAGAATGGAAATATACAAAGGATGGGGAGGAAATGGAGATGAAATCAAGGATGCATAGTTTTGTCTGTTCAGAAGCATCTGAAAAATGTGCAGATCGTTCAATTTCTATGTTGTGAAAAGATTATTTAACAGGCACTGTTGCAGACATAGATTATAAGGGAAGCATCATGAAAGTGGAGGAAAGAATGGTCACCTTTGATGATGAATCAGCAGAAGCTAGAGTTCGCTTTAACATCCTTAGGACAGCTATGTATTGGGATGCAAAAACGACTAACCAGCGTTAAACCTGCAGCATTTTGGTAGTTTCAGTAAAACTGTTGAGTTTAGTGATCCCCAACGCAGAGGGCAGCCCTCATGCGGGCAGCAGAGAGCCTGAGCCACCTTCATCCAGCATATGCCTGATTTCAGGGGTGATACAGACTTCCTGAGGGAAGGTGTCCAGTGTCCAGGTGAAGGTGGCAGAGGGGTGCTGCAGTGCACTGTCTCCAGTTAGGAACTCCTTCTTCATAAGGTTATAGTCAACCTGCTTCTAGGCAGGGAAAAGATGTGAAGGTGCTATTCAGATTAGGGGACCAATGGAGACAGGAAGCAAAAATGCTCTTATTTGGGAGCTGTAAATAAAGATAGGAGCAATAATGGGTAACTGGGCAAATGTAGAGCATTGCCTCCTTAGATATAATATACCCTTTCTCATTTGACAGACGGGTGAGTTTCTCAGCCAGAAACTGCTCTCTTTTTTTTTATAATTCTTGATGTATAGAGTTGAAGACAATTGCTCATGTGAAAGTTCTCCCGTCTGTATTACCAAAAAGGGCATTTATGGGGAAACAATTTACGTGAGGAATTCCCTACTGCTGTTGTGATTTGGATTTCTGTTACTGGGCTAATGACAAGAATAGAGCTGGTTTACAATTCTATTTGTACTCCAACATGAATGTTGTTGTACTAGGAATATTAACATAGCTGTATTTGTGTATTAGGCACATCAAACTGACTAAATTTATGGATTGTCAGTATAAGATGAATTTGTGTTTACAAAGTTTTATTGTAAGTAAGAATCAAAAGCTCTTTTGTTTGTAGGAACTAATAGCAGTCTGTCTTACTAGCCTTCTCTCGTTTCAGAAAATAAATGCTTCGTGTTTCGTTTCTGCCTCAATTTTGTTGTATACCTTCACTATATTTTTTTGTTCAATGCTACTCTAAAAGAGATACAGAAGTATTTGTTGGAGTTCTAGGAAACCAATTTTGTTACTACAGTAGGAGGTCATATGAGAAAAATGTTGTGTTTAGATAGTACTATCATTTTGATAGTATCTGGTATTCCTCCCTTCTGCGATAAATTAAAAGCTGACTACCGCAAGAGTTCTGATAATATTTCCAGCAGTGCAAGAGACCATTTTAAGCAAAAGAGCAATGAGAGAATCCATTAATCCCAGGGATATTTGAAGTCTGGAGAACTCTTTCATATTAAATTTGAGATAAAACCTTCAGTACTATCTTGGTTTTGGAAACTGTTCTAAAACTATTGTTGAACAGATAAATAATGGTTGAGATTGAAGCTGCTTACAATACTGTGTTTATTGTTGAATTGATTTAACTGAAGCAATCATTGTTTGTTGAATTAGATCCTAAACATAATCACATGCACAAATTACAGCTTTAAGACTAAGCATTCTCCTTCTAAAGGGTGTGTGTTTTGGGATAGGTGGTTTCTTTACATCTTTCGTAACTGGACAGACCTCTCTACAGAAGTAGATATGTTCAGCTGCAGTTTTTTATTTTGTATCAAGACTCTTTTATTCATAAAAAATTAGCAGCTGTTGGAAATGACTGTGGTTCTTTCTTTTGGGTTTTTGTAAAAATTGTTATTTTGGGAAGACTACTGATTTAATAGCTACAGTTATGTCACATAGAATCATAGAATGGCTTAGATTGGAAGGGTCCCTAGAGATCATCTAATCCAGCCTCCCTGCCATGGGCAGGGGCATCTCTCAACTAGATCAGGTTGCTCGAGGCCTCTTCTAACCTGGCCTTGAACACCTCCAGGGATGGGGCATCAACAGCCTCTCTGGGCAACCTGTTCCAGAGTCTCACCACCCTCGTACTGAAGAACTTCTTCCTAAGATCTAGTCTAACCCTACTCTCCTTCAGTTTAAAACCATGTCCTCTTGTCCTGTTGCTGGACACTCTTGTACAAAAAGTCCCTCACCAGCCTTCCTGTAGGTTCCCTTCAGGTATTGGAAGGCAGCTATAAGATCCCCCTGGAGTCTTCTCTTCTCCAGGCTGAACAATCCCAGTGCCCTCCGCCTATCCTCATAGCAGAGATGCTCCAGCCCCTGAATCATCTAGCCCTCCTCTGGACTCATTCCAACAGATCTATGTCCCTGTTATGGTGGGGACACCAGAACTGGACGCAGTATTCAAGGTGGTGTCTCACAAGAGCAGATAAAGGAGGAGAATCACCTCTCTGGATCTGCTGGCCACACCCCTCTTGATGCATCTCAGGGTACGGTTGGCCTTCAGGGCTGCATGAGCGCACTGCCGGCCCATGTTGAGCCTCTTGTCAATCAACACCCCCAAGTCCTTCTCTTCAGAGCTACTCTCAAGCCGCTCTCTACCCAGTTTGTACTTGTGCCTGGGATTGGCCCGACCCAGATGCAGGATCTTGCACTTTGACTTGTTGAACCTCATGCAGTTTGCATTGTCCCATTGCTCAAGCCTGTCAAGGTCCCTCGGGATGGCCTCCCTTCCCTCAAGCAAGTCCACCGCACCACACAGCTTGGTGTCGTCGGCAAACTTGCTGAGGGTGCACTCAATGTCACTGTCCCTGTCGCCAACAAAGATGTTAAACAGCATATATAAGCAATACTTTAGGATCACCTTTCATTTGTAGGCATTTTTATTATATTTGAACTGTTATTCTGTATATCTTTTAATGAGTCTCTCTTGAAGGGTTTCTTTTCTGTTTCAGTGTTTTTTGTATGATGTTATACATAATATCTTGAATATATAACTTTCTATGACCACTGAAAATGTCTTTTCAATTTTCGAGTTGTTCTGGAAATATACCAGTTTAAAAGCCATATACCCTACAGTAATTGTTTGTGAGAAGAGAAGGCAGACATGATTAGAAGTTATTGCAGAAGATTGGTGTAATTGTTTGCAGTGTTCTGATAAAGCATAGCAAATAATGTTTTCCACCTGAATATAGCCAGGTAGAGATAGGTTAATGAGTTATAACTCCTTTGTGTTGCATTGAAAATGGGGAAAAAAAGCAGCTCTAAGACATAGTGAGGCATAAGCAGCAGCATTGTGGGTAAGAGTAGAAGTCCTGCTCTTCCAGTAACGGGTACTTAATGAGACTGTTTTAAAACAACAAACAAACAAACAAACCCCAACAAAACCCAACACAACCTAATCCTATATTTTTTCCATCACCTGGCACCAGTGATTTTTATTTATTTATTTAAGCATTTTCTGAGTTGGATGAGCTTGGGACATAATTCAGGACCTAGCACGGTGATTGGAACTGAAGGGATTAACTTCCCAATACTTATCTGAGGCATGGTTTCCTTCATTCCCCTTCCTGCAGCTATTATTTTGAGTCATAAACCCATCCTGTATCTTTTTTTATTTTTCTTACACCTTTTATTCCTCTTTAGCTTATTTTATGCTGTTAGAAATTCCAGACCTGATTAGTGTTTAGATGTATTTGAAAGCTAGAAGTAGGTCAGGGGTTTCTCTTGTCACAGTACAAGTCTGCTACTATGGCAGGGATGTGTTAGACTTACATATGTAAAAGTCTTCCTTTAAGACAACTACACACAAGGTTGTCCACTAAACTACTGTTGTAGTCAGTGGAGACAATAAAGCCCTTCCAGTGCTTGTCATCCTACACTTACCATTCTAAAGCAGATGTCTGGGTCAAACATGTGGTTTCAGTCTGACCATGGAGATCCTAATATTTTAGCTCTGATATAAGTCCAGTTTTGCTGACATCAAAAACTGGATGAGATGAATCCCGCTCTAAGTATCCCTCAATTACAACCTGAATGCTTCACTGTGTTCAAATTGGAATTTCCTATTTTCTTTCCTATGAGCCTTCTTCCTTTTCTGTGGAACCGATGAACATGAAAAGTGTGGTGTTGGAAGTTTTTTGTCTTGTCTTTTCTTCCCCCCACCAGTGTTCAGAGACTTACTTGCCCTTGATTTAAAGTTGTCTGGCATGTTAGCAGTATAGCCACGTTGGAGAGGTTTGAGAAGAATCATGATTCAGAAAGAAGAGATCCTCCTCCTTGGAATATTATAAAGAGAAACGTGAGCTCTCAGATAGTTGCGTCTTCCTTCTGTATCAGTAGTGAATGAGCTTTCCTTAGGATGTGACAGAAGGGCTACAGCCTTCAGCTGACTCATGCATTCAGTATAGGTAATGCCCCATTTACTGTTCTGTGAGGTTCTGTACCGTGAATTCAAGTTTCAAGTTAGACTTACGGTATTGGGTTGGCTGTTATCCTAATGTGTCAGCAACTCTGTGGACACCTGAAGTGGTGCATGGTGAACTATTGTATGGGCTGGATCGCAGGATGCAGTTGTCAGCTTCTATCTTCTGGTGCATTGCTTGTGTTAGCAGGTGCATTTACTCAACATTATATAATTAAAATAAATTAGTCTGGTAGTATTTGGTTCGTGTGTAGACAAGGTGATGGTCCCCTCCTAGAATAAACTTCTTATTCCCTTTTCAAGACTGTTGTGTTAGAGGAACACTTACGAATGCATCTCCAGTGCTGCTTGACTTTGTGTGGTTTCTGGGACTTGAACCTATCTATTGTCACCATACTCTGGGATTATTACAGCAAGAACCTGGTAAGTACATGAATGTATAAAAACATAGAATTGCATGTGGACAGTCCTCAATTTTTAGCAATTAATTCTGATTATCCTCCGGCCAAGCCTGATTGCTATGCTTTTGTAAAACTGGCTAGTCAATGGCAGTATCCCTAAATTTGCTGTATTTGCTTAAGAAATCATGTTTAAGTATATGTTATGGTCCATTACATTATGTCATAATACAATGAATTATAATGTATTTTTACTCTTACTTTTCATCTGGACTACGGATTTTAAGATCTTGTAAAAACACTTTGCCCGCAATGCATTTTTATTTTTTGTTTTGTGGTAGGAACATATTCTTTTGTTTGTGTGAAGGATTGCATCTTACCGTCTTTGGAATATTTGAACTTACCGTTACTTATAATCTTCTCTGTTTTCATTTATTCTTTTAGAACAGTTGCTTTACTGTTCCTTGGCTTGGTCTGAAGGGTCTGGCAAATATTAGTAAAACTTCTTTGTCAATGCTTGAGTTGGTGAAGAGTTGCTGTTGTGAGCAGCAGATCCCTACCCTGTACGAGTCCAGCAACAGTTACTTCATTTTTCTCAGCATTTTGGCACAGATGATGAAGAAAACAGAGAACAGTGGCGTGCATCCTTGGAGACAAATTAAAGGACGGTATGGCTGCTGTTTGGTGTGTCTCGTGTTGTCAGAGGTCTAGTCAGTCAGACTGCAGGACCCTTCCAGCCACATACCACAGCAGGGGCACTGTGCTCACGGGAAAGTAACGCGCATGAGGGATCCAGGGTGATTCATGATTTGAAGAAAGCAGTTGTTCACTGAAGTTTCTGTTGCCAGCTGGGGCTGTGACAGGGTCCAAGCGCTGGGTCCAAGAATCGCCTTGGCATCCCTAGCCTGTGATTATTTACTTCATCCCACAAGCCAGGAACTTGGTACACTGGCAGCCTGTGCAGTGGTACAACCCTATTGCCAGTCAGGTAATGTAATTAAAGCATAGAAATTCTGTTTGAGCTGCATGTAAGCCATGTGTTGCCCAACAACATGCAGACTGGCTCATGCTAGGCCTGCAATTTCATTTATATTTCTGTTTTCTTTTTCGTGGTTTCCAAAGTTTCTCACAGAATTTTTTTTGTAAGGGTTTTAATTTTTCATTTTTAGTTTTGAAACATACTAAGCAAGAGGTGTGGTTAGTCGTCATATGAAAAACCGTAACACATACATGTTCTAAAGCAAAATCCTGATGTTTTATATACTTACTGAATCCTTAAAAATTTTTATTATAGTAATGAGATTGTATTTATTATTAAAAGTGCTAACTTGTTAAATTTTTTTTTCATTAGATATAGAAGACTCTGGAATTAGTTTGGGGTTTTTTGTTTCTATTAAAAATTTTATTAAGTATTAAGAAAATTAGGTTTAAAATTATTAAGTACTAGTAAAATATTTTTGTTTGCAAATAATAAATATATTTAAAATGCACATGTGTATGCAGAGCTTACAAAATTATGTGGTTTGTTTATTCCAAGAGACAAGGGTTATCTTTTCTATCAAATAGGGAAAATATACCTAATGTCTGTGCATGCTTCACGAGTTGTTAGAGTCCGTGACGTCTGGATTTAAAAATTACTGCGACTACATAGACGCAAATATGTTGTTGGATGCTGAATCAGTGTCTTGCTTTAGTTTAGTTATTTTAATTAGCTTAGTCTTTTTTTACTGAAAACAAATTATACATACGTATTTGTGCTATTATAGCTTGTTACTTTCCCTAATTTAAGAGGGGGAATAATAATAATACACAACACACAGTGTGTCAGTCTGTTCAACCAGTATTCATCATTTCTACCTTGAATAAATCAATTACATAAGTAGCAAAATTTAACAGCGTACAGCTATGATTTTGGGATGAACTCTGTTTTCAGCAGCTAACCAAGCATTAATTGATGCATGAAGAACGTAAATGCCTGTCAGTAGTAATTTACTACCAAACAACATTAATTGGATTTGCTGTAATTTTTGGTGGCTAGATTTGATAACCTCAGCACCATTTCCAACTATTTTTCCAGGTGACAGAATAGGAAAACAGCATTTATAGATGTTTAACTACTGTACGTGGAACTTACTTTAAATTAAAGTTGGAGGCTATACCCAAGGTTTTAAACACACAAATTTAAAAAGTTAAGCAAGCCATTTTCATCTTATTCCTCTGTTGCAGGAATGATGATATTTATTTAAAAGTCCAGGTTGGAGCAAAGGTCACAGAAAAGGCACCTATGTAAAAGCTTTCTGCTTTTTGTAAACCACTTCAGAGTTGCAAAGTGGCAGTGCAGTGCTTCTCACCATCAGCCATGTATGACTTGAGCATTGTCATATAAGCAATACAGCTTAAAGTTTCTTAACATCTTCCTGCTGGAGAGAAGTTTCTTTTGCAAATACCTCAGTTTCCCTGTTTTCTCCCGAACTTGTAGTCCATAGTCCGTACAGTAGGTGTACAATACAGGTCGGTACAGACTTTGGCGAAGCTCAGTGGAGAAAAGGAGCTTTCCATCAGAAATATTCCTCTCCCTTGTACTACAATGATGGTTAGGTAGGTGAGCCTTTGATCACAGCAGCTCTGGCACTATAACATAAGAACAGAAATCAGTAGCTAAAGGAAGGAGGGTCCCTGGTCTTTTTTTTTTTTTTTTTTGGTGTCTTCTGTGTGCCACATGGAAATAAAGTTGTTTCTAGGGAAGAAGTTCGGTACAGGAACTGTGTGCTGTTGCAAAGAGATACCACTTGGCAACTTACTTTCCCAGCAGCCCTCATGGGCTAAATTTGATTGATGTGAAGGTGTGGTACGGAGGACATCCATCACAGACAAAGTAGAGAGAGTCAGCTCATAACATTGTGCTCAACTTTGTATTAGAGGTTGGATAAGGGAGAAGGGTTAGGCTGTACCTGTGGTTGAAAACTCTTAATGTGTTAGGAGCAGAAAATGAAATAGCAATATTGTTCCAGTAGCCAAAAGAGTAGAAGAAGGGAGGGAAAAGAGAATATTTAAAATTCAAGGGTTATTGGAAGAGGATAACTGTGAACTAAAAGCATGAAAATACAATTTTAGTCTATCAAGCTAATAGAAAATTGCGTCCTTTAACAAACTTTCTCTTTCCTGTTTTTGTTTGTTTGGTTTTTTAATGTAGAATTTATTCCAAGTTCCATCGAAGAAGAATGCAGGAGCTGACAGAAGTGGGACTGCAGAACTTTTTAAACCTGTTTCTCATGCTGGCGATCGTTGCAGAGACAGAAGACATAGTGAGTCGAGTATTGGATCTTTTGGATTTCCTGACTCCATCCTCCGTTACCGTGTCTCAAAGGGCTCTCATCTGGAGAGGTCATTTTGCTTTCCTTTTGATTTACGTTGAGAAGAACATGGACATCAGTGTCCTAGCTGAGAAACTCTCAAATGCTTTCCGTGAGAAGGCAAAGGAGTTTTTAGTACGGAAAAATGACAACACACAGAAACAAAATCTCTGGACTCTCCTTTCAACTTACATTGATGGTGTCCAAGAAGTGTTTGAGACCAGCTGCTACTTGAGCCTTTCTGAGGAAAAGTTGCTGAATGATGGCTTTAGTATGCTGCTGCCTGCTTGTCGAGGAGCTGAACTGAGTTTGGTCCTAAATTTTCTTCAGGTTGTTCTAGCCAGACTTCGGTAAGTTATTTAGTTAAATTGTGGATACAGACGGGCATGTTGGGTTTTGTGTTTAGTGTTAAACTGTAGTTCGTATTAATTTCTTACTGAAATAGAGTAAAAGGAAAGAGAAATCTCTGGAGGACTGTGAATGATATGTTAAATTTCAAAACCCACCAGTACCTCACTGCATTTAGAATCTTAAAAACGTGTCCTAACTATTTCAGGGTGTTAGGTTTGACATCCCTGATACTTTGTTATGAATTAGTGGCTCTGTAGAAAGTCATCCGGATGCTACTATTTCAGACAATACCACGTTTCTTTTGGCACAGGAAATTTCAAAATTATTATCTGTACTAAATGACTTAAGTTAGGTGGGTTTTGGTGTGATTTGTTTAATTTTCTTTTTGTTTTTCTGTTGTTTTTTTTTTCTTCATTGAATCTGTTCTGTTTTTCAGACTCCTCATTCTATTTTTTTTCTTTCACTGAGGTTGCAATCAAATATAACAGTTACAGAGATTTAAATACTTGTCTGGGGTTCGATAGGAAAGAAGGAAATCGTATTTTACCACTTTCAAGCAGCTTTGCTTTGATGTACTAGTTCAGTTTTCAACATCCACAGTGCCCTTCAATAAGCATATTTTTATCTACTGATGCCTTTGAGAAGTACTCCTCCAGTTTGAAGCCCAAACTGCTTTTTTTTTTTTTTTGTAAGATATTAAGAGGCAGCTATTGATCTGCCATTACTTCAAATGTGCAAGACTGAAATACGTGGAAGGAGCTGTGGAAGAGTGCATAATAGGAACAGTGAGGCCCATATGCAAGATCTCTCTTTAACTAGGTTCTTTGTTATTGTGTAGTAGTTTGACTGCAGCTGTCAATAGCTTATACGTCCAAAGACAACTGTTTTTCAGGAAGTCTTTTGAAAAAAGATGAAGGACGAAACTAAGTTTAGTTGATTTATTATTTATTATTTCAGTTCAACTGAATGTATTTACAGGAATAAATTGGAGACTTCAAAAATACTTTGACGTTTTCTCCATTAGCTAATACACAGCATTTGTTGTGTTGTTTTTAAAGATGAAATAGAGAGAAATTTGAGACTGGTGGAAAAGTTGCCTATTTCATAACTTGGTATTATTTCGAAGCTTTTGAGAGCTGGGGCTTATGTGGTCCTCTTGTAACTCAGAGAGGGGGACATAGAAGTTCAGTACAGAGTTCCTGGGTCATCACAGACAAGGGACAGGACAGTAATTGTACCTTTTCTTACAAAAAGCAGGTCTGCTGAAATATTTGAATTACCAACACATTCAAATATTGGTATGAGAAAGATTTAGAGCCTTGTTTTTAACAGTTATTTATTTCAGCTTCTGCATTTATACATTTGGTTGCTGTTACCTACCTATTTATCCCATCTACAGAGCAGCTTAATTCCTCAACATTTATAAAACACTTTGATCTTCAGGTTGTATAGAGGATATGTTACTGGTTCTCTCTGCCACTTCGTCAGACTCACTGAAAATAGTCCTCTGTTGCCGTACAAGTAAAACAACACTAAACCACTTTCTTGGTTCAGAAGATTTAGATGACTTTGTGCGAACCAGATGTTAAACTGTTATTGGCTTAACCAGACTGATTAGGTGTGGTCTGCAAACTCGGATGGAATGGTTCAATGCTGTTCTCTCTCCCATTTTCTAAACCCAGGCAGATATAAGATAAGACTTTCATAAATGTATCTTTTCTTCACACTCCCTCTAATAATTTTATAACTGATTACAGGGAATTTACAGGTAGGAAGGAAGTGAGATCACTGATTAAAGAGGGAAGCGGCTCCCTCTAGGCTGTTAGGAAATAATAACTTCATGTGCTACTTTCTGCTAACCCCAGATGATGGCTCATAGGAGCATTCTTTACTGCTGATTAAGTAGCATTATGAAAATACTGACTTGGTTATGTTAACTGCCTCAGTATTTACAGCTTAAAACGTCAAATAGTTTTAGCAATTGCCTTTAACATATCTTGTTGGATTGCTAGAATCACATTCCAGTTTCCCAGTTGTTTTTATCTGAGGATATCGTAAAAATGGCAATCTTTAATTTGCAGAATGAGGTGTAGCCAAAAGCTCTTCTTTAATTATAGCTATCCATGCTGCTATGTTAAGAGTCTGTCAGCATTTCCATTATAAACCTTTATTTTCGTGGGTTTGTAACATAACAGTGAAAACTTGCTCTGGGCTAAAACTTGGCATACAAGGTTTTGAAAGTGCGCTTGTTTCCTTCCTTTCTTTTTTCTTAAAAGGCATCTGAAAAGAGACCCCCACCTGAATTCACCATTTTTACACTACAGTGTTTTAAAATAACCCTTTCCAGGTTTTTCTTGTCTGCTAGGAAAGTACTGGTAGCTTTTGACTGTTCTATTTACCTGTGCTTAGACTGTTTTAAATAACCTGTTTAAAAGCTTTTTTTTATATAGTTATCATTATGATTATTTTGGTGTCCATATATTTACAGAACTATGACTTGGCAGGAAAATTCATTTTTATGAGTTTTCGATATGTGGTGAGTGGATAATTGGAAACAAGATGCTACTTGCTGGCACTTCCATGTATTTGATCTTCACAGTGAGATTTAGTATGAAGTGTAAGATTGTATTTTAATACAGTCTCGTTTTTAAAAACATACGTAAAATCAACAGTAAACAGCCAAGAAACTCCCCAAAATAAAAATGCAAAACACTTCCTTCCTATTTTTACTTGGAGGATTCAGCTTCTAGCTCAGACATAAGTTTTTCCTTTAGTTTTTGTTTCTGTTTTTAAGCAGGATTTTAGAATCCTGATTTTTTTTTTTTTTTTCTTTTAATGAAAGGTAAATGCAGGATGCTTGCCCATGTGTGCTTTCATTTGTTCCAAAGCACTGTCACCTGAGTGCCTCACGACACAAAAAGAAACCCTAGGTTAATAAAAATACGGGCATTTAATGGATTTGGCAGAACTTGCTGTAAAAATGGACGCAGACTCGGAGAAATCTGCTGAGTGCCTGGAAACAGTAGGTTCCAGCATTGCAATGTTATTCTTAAAAGTGCTTGATTCGTGTTGAAATGTCTTTTATTGTAATCAGGTATTGCTCTGACATGAGCTTTCTCTCATTATCATCATCCTGGCGTTTGGGTTCTGCAGTATATTAGAAGGATTATAAAATGCAAGTACATGCCCAGGTGTAAAGTCACTGCTGTACTCCAAACATCTTTGCCTAGTTTCAGGGAGACTTGCTACTGATTCCTATAGGAGAAATGAGAAGTACCAGAAAGCTAATAACAAATGGTAATTTTATTTTTAAAACGTTTCTTCCATGTTTATACCTGTTTGTACTGTTCTGCCAGTGTTGAAGAACATGAAAAGTTATTGAATATTTCAGTGTGTAAATTTCATAAGCTCTACGGAAGTATTAATCAGGTAAACCTGTCTAATTAAAAGTTACATTAATAATTAGGCAATGGATAACAGCAGAACTGGATGTTTCTATCTGTTAGAGTGTGTCTAGCCTTGAGGTTGTGAAAGAAATCACAGTAGGAATGGATTATCCAGTATATCTTTGCTATGGAAATGTATAGTCATTTGTAATTTTTTTTTTTGCGTTGTACTTGCCATCAAAACAGCCTGCGGGAAGCTTTCCAAGACCAACAGAAGCCTCTCTCCCCCTCTCTGTTACCATGTAAGTCAGCAGATAAGCTCAGGAGGAGAATAGAAAGGTCCTCTCTCCTCCCTCCTTTTCTTCCCCCTCAGGGGTTTTAGTGTTAGTCTTTGTAAAATGTATTTTCTGATGCTGAACTTGTGAAAATTGTATCCAGAAGAGTTTGGAAGATCATGAGTCTCCTCTTACCCATCCCGTTGAGTATATTTAGAGCTACCATCTGTGATGTCCTGATAAGCACAGAGGGCAACTCTGTGACTAAACCACTGAACTGAGAGTCAGAAGATCTTAGTTTGGCTCTAAGATCTCCTAGGCTTAATGAATGATCATTAGAAAGTCATTAAAAGTTGCTATGAACTTTGTCTACCTGTGTGGACAAAGAAAATAAGTCTTTACTTTTTGAGTTCACAACATAGATCTTATGCTTGGAGAGCAAGTGTGCCTTGCTGTGCTAACTTGACCTGTGGTTTAAAGTATTTTTAGGGTTTTTTTTTTTCCTTGTTGTTTTTTTTTTTTAAGTTCAGTTATTCCATTAATAAAACTGAGGTTTGAATAAGTGTAAAGAAAATCTAATCTCTAAATGCTTTAAAGCATGGGAAGCAAGCACTGTTTTAGAATATAGCAGCATTTTGAGAGATTTGTGATGTCTAAATCCTTAAAAGTAATCTGTTACCATTTTCTGTGGAAATACTGGGTGTGTTCTTAGCTACTGTTCTTGCCTTAAGGTGTGGCTCTGGTAATTCAAACTGAATTTCTTTTTTCTTCCTCCTACTTTATGTGGGATTAGAGGTTATTCTTTTTTTCTGGTTTTTTTTGGTCTAAAATAATGTTTTATTTACTGTGTCCAGTTCTGGTCTGCCCAGTTCAAGAGAGACAGGGAACTACTGGAGAGAGTCCAGCAGAGGGCTACTAAGATGATGGAGAGACTGGAGCGTCTATCCTACAAGGAAAGGCTGAGAGACCTGGGGCTCTTTAGCCTGGAGAAGAGAAGGCTGAGAGGGGACCTTATCAACACTTATGAATATCTAAAGGGTGGGTGTCAAGAGGACAGAGCCAGGCTCTTTTCAGTGGTGCCCAGTGACAGGACAAGAGGCAACGGGCACAAACTGGAGCACAGGAAGTTCCGCCTCAACACGAGGAAAAAGTTCTTTACATTGAGGGACAGAGCACTGGAACAGGCCACCCAGAGAGGTTGTGGAGTCTCCTCTGGAGATATTCAAAACCTGCCTGGATGTGATCCTGTGCAGCCTGCTCTAGGTGAACCTGCTTTTAGTAGGGGAGTTGGACTAGATGATCTCCAGAGGTCCTTTCCAACCCCTACCATCTTGTGATTCTG